ACAACGAGTAAATGACATCTTTCATTTGGGCATAAGATTAAAATAATAATCTATATTTGAGTGAAAAATTTAAATTTTTGGAAATATGTGAACTGCTCGATTGTAGAAAAAATCTTGTGTGTAATTCGAGCGCAAATTGAATGTAGATTTCAAGAGATTAGCGCGGCAAATGTCTCTTTCAATCGTGCGTTCACCAGAACCAACTGTTTGCAAACCGTTTGCGCTTTTTATATAAGCATATTTACTGAACGCATTGCTAATTGTCAAACTGTTTGCAAGCGGTCGCCATTTTTTTAATCATAATTCAAACTCGCTGAAATTCACAAACATGTTGATCGGGCATGCGCATTTGTCATAAGCGCGGAATTTGCCTGGAAACCACACGTCTAATTTAATTTGAGTGAATTTTGAGAAAACCGTTTTGTATTCTTTTTGTACATTTCAATAAAAATACCTTTCTACAGTTTAAATACATCCTGCTATAGAAGATGAATTGAATTGTCCTATACGAGTAGAAAATCAAGATTGGAGTATTAAATGCATATTCACTGGATCCTTGAGTAAATATTTTTTATCCATAAATTGTACCTGCTTTATGAGAAGTTTTTATTTTCAGATTGTTACATTTAATAAATTTAATAAACTCACCACATAAGTATAGTCATTTTAAGGAAAGAGTTAAAATTTGTATAGGTGAAAAACGTATAGTTATAGCACAGATATACGACGTATATCTGTGGTTATAGTGTTGCAATGCAGGGTTTGATGGCCAGCAATCTACTAGGAGACGAGCAAATCGTTCGTGCCGTTTTGGAGCCTTCATAAACCGCATATGAAGGGGTCCGTACAAGTCCAAATGAAATCCAGAGCACTCAGCCAGTATCAGTTATAGGTTATAGAGATACTTGTGGTACCCTAATTAGATTTGAAAAGAAGTTTAGTGTGGAACGATTTCACTACAAAGTTATTACTCGCCGAGTATTTCAAATTTGACATTCGTCAAAGGGAGGCTGAAGTAATACTGTTAAAATATCTTCTTTTTTTGTCTGGCAACTTTGTCGTGGGCAGTGTACGTTCGCAGTTTCTTGCGTTTTTACGGATTAACAGCACCATTTATTGATAGGAAAAAGCTCTATCAAATGACACAGATAGTAAAAATGCCTTCCATAAGAAAAAACAAAGCTGATGATGGTTAACCGGAGACGAAACGTCAGACTAAAAATTTAAAACTAGCATCTTGTATATGGAAAAAAGTGGTTATGCGCCGTTTATTTTGAAATATCTTTTTTATTATACCTGAATCACAATCTCCGTTTTAAACACTCAAATGCGTGCGAAAAAGGGCCTTTAAAACACACGTGCTTTAAAGTTGCTAAGTTGCTAAGTAACGATACTTCAAGTATGACTTTTGAAACTGTCATCTGGATGAAATAAAAAAATCCTCTTAGGTCGCTTTCTGTAAATGCAGAACATCTCTTTGGCTTTTGTACCTATCCTTTGGTTGAAGCTTTCACAAACGCGCGTAATTTATGGTATGCTTCCAAATCTGTTCCACTTTTTAATCGCAGCATTGTTTTAAAGTTTTGAATGAATGCACCAAAATATAGAAGATTTAAATACCTTTGACATTTCCTTCATATATGCCAGCATTATGGATGCATTTAAGACTGTATTCGTAGGTAACTTCCTATTCGTCCATGGAAACAACTTTTCATATTCTTTATAATAGGCTTTACTGGATTTGGATTTTACACCTACCAACGTTTGTTTAGATTTTACAAGCGATTTAATGGACGATGTATTATCTTTTTCAACGGAAATCGTTTTATTTACAAAGATGATGATGATTATAAGCAAACTTCAAGTGACATTTCCATGGCAATCGTGAAATTACGAACACCCAGCCCACTTAATTAGACATGTATTCGAGTATAACGTCAATATGACTTCATTGTATTACCTATTTTTAAATTATACTGCAGGTATAATAAAAAATACTATAAGATACACGTGTATAATTGGTATTTAAAGCACTTGCAACGTTAAAGGCACTCCGCTTTGCGTCGTGCCCTTAAACTCGTTGCGCGTGCTTTAAAGACTTGATTATACACTTGTATCTTAATATACTATTTAAATAACTTAGGAACAAATAAAAACGATTTTGTAAAATGTCTTTTTTTTTCTGGATATCTCCGAAAGTAGTCGGAATTTTTTCAGTTTCAAAACGACATTTTGTTAAGCATCAAACTACTCAACTTTGCCAACCTCTATTTCTTACAGTTCCCGAGATCCCCATAGTGGCTCTCGAATTTGAATAAGCCTGCATACATGGAATGCTCCCTTCTTCATTCATAATTAAATTATTCGATTTATCTCTTACAACTTTAAAGCGCATTGGGAGCAATGTGCAATTATCCAATTTTTGGTCGTGATGTATAGGTACTAGTAATTTACTCCAATTTCGCGCATAAACCTGTATGCCGATGGTTTAAACAAATATGCATGCCTTACAAAATTACAAACATGTTTGTGATTTTCAGCGAGTTTAAATTGCGATTCAAAAAATGGCGTCCGCTTGCAAACAGTTTAACAACTAGCAACGCGTTCAGTAAACGTACTTATCTAAAAAGCGCAAACGGTTTGCAAACAGTTGGTTCTGGCAAACGCACCCTATCGTTCACTAGCGCCTAAACAGTTTGTGTTTGCAAACGTAATCAAAGCGTTAACACGTTTGGTTCTGGTGAACGCACCCATATCATTTTGCGCTCTTAATACACAAATAGCTATTTTTTATGCATGTTTAAGTATTTTGAATAAACAGGTCGAGGTAAACTAAGTGCAAAGGTGAAACTTATTCATTGAATTCGGTTTTTAACTAAAAATTGTTGATTATTGAAACATATTTACAAGTAAAAAGTCATAAGTCGTCAAAGGGGAATGCCTCATCATCGCTCAGATCTCCTGTTGCAATCGAGATATAAAAAAATATTTATCATCGTTCAGATCTCCTGTTGCAGTCGAGATATAAAAAAATATTTAGTTAAGATCATTAAAAATAAAACTCTGACAGTCATGTTTATAAAATAAGCATGTACATATATACTCGGCTCCGATTTTTGCAGTGTTCTTGACAGTTAGAACACTGTAGGGTGCAGGGAAGGCTGTTTCGCAAGCATGACTTGACAGTTGTACGCAAATTCAAATTTTAGCGCGCTTCCATGTGCGCAGTACCGAGGGAGTCAATATCCAACACATCTGCAAGGGCGTATCGGCACCGTCAAAATATTCGTTGACGCTCCGTTCATGGCACGTTACGGTGCTGATTGTCGGTGACAAAACGGTCTAGTGGGCATAGTCTCATACTATTCCATGCAAACAATATTTTTTTTCACTACTAGCGTCTGATGACATGATTATTAACCTTTTTTCCACTTGTAAAGTAGGCTTTCTCGGCATTTGTTCAAAGTGGTTAATAATGTGGACATTATTAACTAGTAGTCAATAATGAGAACTGTCACGCTGTCACTTTTAGAAAATACAACCCGAAATTTCACTCAATAAACGTTTAGAAAAGTTCTCTAAAATGAATAATTGCCAGTGTGGGGCGCTATGTACAGATTGCATATATTTACTTTTTGTCTATCGTATAAGACTATTTCCCCAGCCACTGCCTGTCTATTTCACCAAATTATAATTTATTACTTCGCGTTTACTTTAGACAGACTTATACATAGAAATTACGATCTAATCTGACTATTTAATTCATTCAAAGAGCCGTGAAATATGTATTACGATACTGATAAGCAGAAACGAAGCTGTAAACTCCAATTTGATTCATTTGAAAAAGTTGAATGTCGGTATTAAATTAAGCAATAATTTGTTAATCAAATGATCCTGATTCGGGACCAACGTCGAAATGATTAAACATCTTCCACCAACAGGGAAAATACCAATACAATACCATACTAGAACAACACAACTACCCAGAAGAATGGAAAGAAGCCCTTATAATACCTATCCTGAAAACAAATAAAAACAAACTGACACCATCCTCGTACAGACCCTTACCTAGTCAATGTAGAAATTCACTCGAAAAAGCAATGAAAACCGCATTTTTATTAACATCAAATGACATGATTCGGGACCAAAAGTCGCTTCATAAAAAGTGGCGGACATTACTTTGGCTCAGAAATTTGCCCGGCAGACATATAGTATTGTCAGGGAAGACATTATCTACATTTTAAAAAAAATTTCGCTAAATTCCGTGATGACGTAGGCGCGACTGTTTTTTATACCCCTTTCGCGCCCGGCAGACATGTATTCAGCACGGGGAATCGGCTGGCACACATATGTTTACGTGATGTGCTCGTTGCCAGCAATAATCCCATATATTTTTTTTCTAATTCCGACATGACTTAAGTAACCTATTTTTTATGTACACTTAATTAATTAATTAGCCACAATAAGCACAGGATATGGCTGGCAGACATGGCGGTTTTGTTTTTTCCTATTTCAAACCTACTTATTAATAATATTTTTGTTGAATTCCGCGATGACGTAGGGTTCTGTGTCGCTGGTTCTTAGACTATAACATATCTCAGAATTTTAGTTTAAGCTTTGAATATAAATTTATTCAAAGGTTTAAGTTAGAATATACATAATTTGACCTTGCTATTCTTATCTTTTTTCACGGCTCCAATAGAAGACCAATGCTAGTTTAACTACTAATTTGAATTGGCACCGTGTAATTCCTCATAATACTATACCTACGTAGGTACTAGCACAGATTTAAATATACTATTTAAATCTGTGGTACTAGGTACTAAATTTCATCTCCTTCTTTTCCTCCTCTAGTTCTTATCTTGTATTCTGATCATTAATTTAGAAGTTTTTTTTTATTGTTTATGAATAATTATAATTGTTTTTTTATATTTTGATATGTGAAATTTTGACATGAGACCTATGAGGAATAAAGGCTATTATTATTATATTATTATGGCATTAAGGTTAAAAACTATAATCTATAATAACCAACAAGCTTGTCTCTCTGAATGCGTACCAAAACACGTCTAATGAAAATTTGCTTTTGCAGAGGTGAACCTAGATACGTGCGAATTGGTGAACTGCAATTAGATACGAACCGAGACGATGCGCAGATACAAGATTTTACCATATCTCAACTGATTAGACATCCCGACTATAAACCTCCATCCCAATACAACGATATAGCATTGCTCAAACTAAATCGGAAAGTACGCCTCAATTCGTATGCAAGACCGGCATGTCTTCATACAAACATGAATATACCAGTTTTGAAAGCAGTTGCGTCCGGTTGGGGCAAAGTGGGATTTTCTTCAGACGTTAGCAAGCATTTACTTAAAGTAACCTTGGAGTTTTTTACAAATCCTGAGTGCAATAGTACATATCGCAATAACATTGGAATGAGACTAAGGAATGGAATTATGGAGACTACACAAGTATGTGCCGGTCATCATACAGAAGCCAAAGATACTTGTCAGGTAAAAGCTTCTCTTCACAGCTCAGTTTTTATATCTTTCTTCTTTACAGGGCGATTCTGGTGGACCTCTGCAAATTGTTAATCCAGATCCAAACATTTACTGTATGTACTCCATAGTGGGAGTTACGTCATTTGGAAAAGCGTGTGGGGTTGCCAATCTTCCCGGTGTTTATACAAGAGTATCCAACTATGTCGACTGGATAGAAAAAATTGTATGGCCATAAAGTGGAAACAAAACTGTGTAGAAAATTGCTGGACTTTATGTACCACAAAACGGAACATTTAGCATTTACGAAAATTATATGAACGGCAGCCACATTTTCTAGTTATTAATAAAACTGAAATACTTGTCAATGATAATAATAATTAATAGGATCTCTCTAATGTATAGACAGCTAATATTTAAGAAACTATTTAAGATAACTCATTATAGTGTTATAACAGATTGCGTATCTATACTGTCGGTCCACGATTTAAATAATTCTTTGCCAGAATCTCTTGGCACGATTTTTGTTTCAGAACGGAGTAGGTATGTAAAATTGCCTATTATAATGCACATTTTCTATGTATCTGTTGGTATCTGTATAACAAGTGATAGATTGCTGATGCCTAATGATTGATAATTAACCCATATTGTGGTCGTGAAACCTTAGACCATACAGTACGTGGACTGCTAATTGCAACTAAAATCTGGTCAAGAACATCGCCTGGGTATGCAAGTTTGAGGGTAAACGAATCTGTCCGAAGTTGTTCGATGAGACACGATTTCAGACTGTCAACCTTTAAATTTGCAAACCCCGCTGGACCTAGCCCCCCTCCCACCATTGTGAATCAATTTAAGAATGGTATCCAGTTCAGACGCATTGTCGCGTGTTTGTGCTAATATGCAGACTCGCTCTGATAAACTCATTTCTTTACACGACGCATTATACCATCCTGGTGTTTCGAGAATGACACACTGCGTGAAATCGAAAAATTTGCCTTTTTCTGTAGAAGAAGTCGGGAAAACGACTAATTCATGTCGCGTCTGTTCAGAAATAAAACCTAAATATTTTAGGTCTGCTACGCCTGGTCCTGGTTTGATAAAAGCTACCTCGCCATTTGAAAGATTAAGTATTGATTTTAAAGGACCAGTTCCTTTTAATACGAAGAATAAATATATACTCACTATTATCGATGCCGTCTTATCTTCATTCAGAGAGAGACTTCATTCGTTTCTTCGGAGGTAAAGATTTTCTAAATTCACGAGGAATAGCTACAAGTAGGACTACCCCATACAATCCTCGGGGAAACGGTCAAGTTGAACGATTAAACGGAACGCTTTGGAAGACAATCCTGTTGGCATTACGATCACTTATCAGGTGATAATTGGGAAGAAGTATTATCACAAGCTTTACATTCGATACGATCCCTTCTGTGCACAGCTACAAATTGTTCGCCGCATGAAAGGATGTTTAAACATACAAGAAGATCTTCTAATGGGGTTTCGCTACCGACATGGTTGACGAATTCGGAACAAGTTCTAATGCAGAAATTCAATCGCTCCAATAAATACCAACCACTTGTGGAGGAAGTCACACTGCTTCATGTAAACCCTGATTACTCTTATGTTCGCCTTGCAGATGGTCGTGAATCGACTGTTTCAAATCGTCACTTAGCACCATTGAATCAAGAAGGTGAAAGAATTCCGGATATGATCAACATAGAACAGGCAGCAACTTCTGATTCAGACCAATCACCTGTAGAGCAAATTGGCGAACCAAGACCATTGAATTTTATTAACGAAGCGATTTCACGAAGATCTGTTAGGGAACGTAGGTTCCCAATCCGTTACAATGATTATATTTTAAAATGATGTGTGGATGAATGTGGTAATATACAAACACATTATTTATTGCCTCATTCTAATGTAGTTTGTAATGTTATTTTACACATAGAGGACCGGAGGCGTATTGGCATTCTGTACTATTATTCATAAATAACTATTATTAGTTGGTATTTCAGATATTCTAGCACGGACATGTCAAGTCGATTTTCGGAAGGAACCTTCCGACTTATTCCCAGGAGTTCACGGTACGGGAATTTGAAGTCTACGGGGTTCCCCTCTTTAAAAGCTTCGTACTTAGACCCACTGGAGTAGTGACTGGCTTAAAGTTTGCCATTCCGAATCACACCCGGTCGTTGATAAAATCTCGCCGAGGCACAGCGATTTACTGTCCTTTTGCCGAAATTAAGTGCTCAAGCGTGTGCTTCACCTCGACCTCTTTCGACAGAAGTTCACCAATTTCAGAGATCTCAATGGAAAACACATTATGAAGCAGATATCAATTTACAGCGGTCCGAATTTTAAAGTCAAATAAAAATGTTATTATCCATTTTTGTAAATGAATAAAATATATGTACAATTGTACGCTGCCTAAGTATGTATTAAAACCACCAAGGCGAAACACAGGAGAGAGGAAAAATGCCATTTTTCAAGAGCAACAAGACGCCATTAAAACTTAAATCGGTCCACCGATTGACTTTCGGACAACGCCAAACTTCTCAGCATGGCTTGTAATTATAGACGGCTGTGACCATGCCTCTTAAAACGTCAAATGCGATCCGACAAACGTCAGACCCCCGCACAAGATTGCCGGCTCACTTCTACGTGATTGGTTGTAGGTTTGTGACGTATTTAGACTGAAGCGTTTCAAATTCGGACTAAAAATACAGCTTTTCAATAATTTATTTTGGGTTTATTTTACTCGCAAATAAAAATTGAGGACACACGGGTCTTTTTGCTTTTATTGGACTTTGTAGATCAGAAATAAAAAATAAGCCGGGAAGCTCCCATCCAATATAGGGCATGGGTCTATCACCGGTCCAACATTTTCTGGGATGGTTACTAACTTTTTTGAACAAATCAGAATAGATATTACTTTCTATACTGTATTATGTCTGGCATCGTTGCGTGAGCAACACGGGGTCATTCTCAACATGCGATAAGTCAATTAGATTATAGTTGAACTCTCCCTTCCAAACTTTCAATGAAAACAATATTTTCAGATTCTTGGATTTCACAAACTAGTGTTGTGAAAGTGGAATTTGGCGGTATGGCGTTTTATGTATTTGTCGTCTTGAAGTTACTAGTGTTGCTGAATTACGCAATTAGTCGGGATGCTACAGAAGGCAAGTTTTTTAATTTGTCGAATTTATTGGGGTTTCTGAAAAGTCTTCTAAAAACGTTACTTGTAAATAAATATTATGATCATACGACAGTTTTTGCAGTAAATTGGGAGACTGTTAAACATTATGTGGAGCATGTCACAAATGGTCCAAAACGGCGATGTACCTACTGCAGAAATATCAAAAATATTGGCAAACGCGATGTTAACATTGGGTATTTTTTGAAGTACTGTTATATATTTACCTAATCAACAAGTACGTTAAAAGGTCAACAACTGCATCTATAGGCAATCGAGGAGAAAGAGTTTAATTTTCAATTTGGTTATTATTGTACTTTTCTGTACCTAACATATATCCTTGTAGTTACAATTTTTAATATCCAAATTACTTAGATTTTCCGTTGCAATAACCCAAAGACATTAGACAAAGTTAAAGAGGGCAGAGGTATTCGTTAACACTGAATCAGCTTACACTGCAAAAAATTAATATCAAAACATACATGATATTCCATTCCAATAAATGGTCCAATGCCAGTTTGCACCTTATAGTTAAAAAAAATTGCGGTTTCAAATCCACGAATACGTGGATTTGCTGCACTTGGCACAACTTTACCTCCCCTCAAGATGGTGGACTATCCGATACTTCTAGAAGTAGGTACGATAACGTATTTGCAAATTACGAAAAACCAGTTTCAAAATTCATCGAACTTAATATGTGGCCTCCAAATAATTGCTATCTTAGTTGATTACTATGTTTGCAGTAAGTACCCATGATACTACAAGCGCACCTATATTAGAAGTAATCGATGATAATGGTTTTCAACACTCTCCATGACATCGGATAGTTTTTTGTTGGAACCTCTGCGACAAAGAACTTATTAACGGATCATTGGGCGGTAACGAGTATAAGGTGGGGGATACTACCATGAATTTCAATGATTAATTTTAGGTTGTTTTAATATAAAGAATTTTTTTATTATCGTTTCCATGAAAAAATAAATTTAAAAAAAGTAAAAATATATACACCCTTTCAGCACGTCTTTCATTTTTTCTTCCAAACTCTTAAGAATTTTTAATACGATTTTAATGGTCGTCTTTCTGTGTAAGTTCTTACTATTTCTTGAATTTAAACATTCACAGTGTTGCAATGACTTTAAATGGAAGCCTTTTTTTTTAAATGACCCTTGCTTAGATCTTAGAACCTAGGTTTTTCCATTACCTAGTGTTGAATTTTACTTTATAAATATGTTCTAACATAAGTTCCACATTTTATCAAAATCGTACCAAAGCCAAGTAAGGTATTAAAGGCTAAAAAGGGAACCAAATAACTGTAGCCCATTGTGTAGGTAGGAGGTAGGTACATCTGTTTAACAAATGTAACCTTTCTGAACTTTTTACGATGTTTTATAGCTTTCTGCACGCTCACCACTTCCACGAAAGTAAAGTTTTCTAGCTCTTGTTTGATGGTCTTGTGTATAGTCATTTAATGTGTTTGCTTTACAATGGCGTATCACAATTCTACTAACCAGTCTATTAAATGCCGTTTTTAGTAAATCGTTTACGATTACTTTCGTAACTCGTTTCCATTTTAGTAATAGAAAATTTTTAGAGGGGATCTTTTTCGATACCATATACCTACACTGGAAAAAAAACCGGTCAGGGGTACCCATTTTTATGGTAAAATAGGCGCCAACTTGTAAAATCTTAACAGCTACCACTACAGAATGGTAATAAGTTATTGGTACCAATGGTCATTACAGCGAAGTGATAATTACCGCTACTAATCTCATTGAATTTTACTACTACGTGTTGTTATGATAACCGCTTTCATAAAACTTATATTTACCACTACACGCCGGTAAATCGTACGCGAGTATATTACTTCGGCAACTTTAGGTAATATACTTTAAAAAAGAATATAATAGTAAAGGCAACTCTTCTACAGTGATATTAATTTAGAAGTAGACATATAGGGATTTGTGTATAGGTATACCGAGGTACATACCTACTGTATTTCCCTAAGTCTCCTTTCAAAAGGCAAAAACTCTTCTCAATGGCACCTAATTTTGTCCATCCAATATAACTTTTGAAAACAAATAAACATATGGGTGTCATATTAATTAGTTTGAATATTGTTGCTTTGACTTATCAGAAAATAAATCTCTTACGCTCCTTAAACTGTTACCAGCACTATACCAATTGACAATATCAACTTTTTCTTCGGCGGAATACATCCCACATGACCGAAGATAAAAATACGGAAGCCAAAGCAGACATTTATTTGTTTTAAGAAGTTATTTTGAAAATTAGGCGCCCTTCAGAAGAAATTACATTCGCGTAGCATTTTTCCAGTAAAAACTGGAAGTAGTTCTTGGAGATTCCAATCCTTTAGCAACTCTTCCATATTTATTATTTAACTTTACACTACTTTTACACTTAACGCGTCAATGTTCAACCGCTAAATGGCCACGGTCAAATTATTCCTAAGATATTTCTTTCAGTCTACTAATGTTTCATTAACTGCAACACATCACTTGAATAATATTAACCTCAGTAGTAGTAAAAGTCTGCAATGTTACTGTTTGTAGTAGTAAGCTATTCGTTGCGAACCGTGCGTAGTGGTAAAATTCACAAGACATATAATTGTATAATTTTTAAGCATTTTGTTCCGTTTAGCACAACACATTCGTAGTGGTAAATATTATTTACAGAGTGAACCATTTTGTAGTGGTGCGTATCTGGTATCTATCATTGTACTATTAATCCTAGTAGGATTGTCCTTGTTGTAGTTAATCCAAAGTAGATTACTACTACAATATAGTAAAAGGAAAACCAAATTATTTTTTTCAGTGTAATACGCTGTGTAATTCGCCCAGCAACTGAAAACTTTTCTGTGCAGTGCATCATTAAACCATTTGGCCTTACTGCAAAAGACCTCTTTAGTGGTATTTAAGTAAGAAAGCAACTTTGTAAAAATCAGAGCTAAGTTCTAGAAAGCATTACAATTAATCACAGTCGGCTGAACCTGTACCTACTTATAAAATAGTATATTGAAAGACAATAAAGCATTGTAACACGCGTTTTTCATACTATTTTTTCTATTTCGGTGCTTTAATTTAATTAAAAAAATCATTATCAGAAACTATAGGGAACATTAGAACTAACATGTTTTATGTTGGGAACACTTTTTATGCCGTTAAGTTTTAGGTTGGCAGCGTAGTAAGACTGACATTTTGAAGTTCAAACATGGAAGTAGGTACTCTTTATTCATTGGAAAACAGTTGTACAAAATCATCATTGTGACACTGAAATAGAAAAAATAGAATAATTGTTACTTATCATTTACACCTTTACTACCTTTAGTCGCTGATATGATTTAATAATACTCGTATTAACATTTGGGCCCGTGCTTTAATTTTTAATTAGGGAGAGAAGTTCTATATCGTTACCGAGAATTTTTTGGAAAAGGAAGATGACGTCAATTAAATGTATTATGGATTTCCAATTCAGCAACGTAGGTACCAAAAAGTTAAAGGGTTTATTGGATTATGTTTAATTTCCGATTTGCAGCGAATTACGATACGGAAATTTACATTACGTACATATTCCTCATCTAATCTTAACGTATTTTCCATGAAGGATTGGTTGTAGGGATATCAACGTCTATCAAGTGATAGTGTGTGTTAATCAACATGAAAAAAAAACACATTAATTAATTCCTAATTTAGCAAGCAATAAAAAGTGCTTATTATAATTATTTCTGGTAATGGGGTTTTCCGCGTTTTTTCAAAAACCTTGAAAATGAACTCCAAGCACATTAAAAAAATTAGTGGTACTCATTTTTTTGTCAAGAGAAATCGTTGTGATTAGCAAACACGATTTTAAAATGAACGGCGTTTGAAAAGTTTCGAATGACCGCCACGTTGCAGTGACGTCAATACGCGCGTTGGCGCTCAGCCGTAGCATTGCTTGCAATCGATTCAGAGAAAGAAAACGGCGTTTTGACGGAAAAAAGCGTCGAATAATTATTGCATTTGTACCTGAGTGTGATAGCAGAAGTCATCGCGAACCTAATAAATTGTATATAAACGTCCCAACAGGAAATATACGAAAAAAGTTCGACGTGATACCGCGAGTTTGACATTCCATTTGTATTGTTGTGAAGACGATTCTAATTAATTAAAGTACATAATGTCGATTTACTTTCAGTCAGTTATCGACGAAAATCCATCGATATATAATATTGTAATTGTAATTCAGAATATGATTTACTTCGAACTCTGTTCTGGGCATATCTGTATCTGTGCCCTTACAGCGCACACATTTTTCTCTATTTTCACTTCCATATATCCAACACCCTAATTTGCTCGTTGAAATCCGTAAGGTGCATACTGTATTAGGTACGGTTTTGGTCAGAAGTAATGTTCCTCGATTGTCTCAAGTGTAGTACATAAATAATACACCAGATCTCCTGTGAGTTTTAAGCTTTTTTCAAAATGAGGAAAATCCCTAAGATTGAATTGGAATAGAACTAAATCAGGGAGGAACTGACATATTAGTACATTTTCTGCAGTTGAGGTATCTGAGGGAGAACATTACTTCTGACCACTACTGTACCTACACTATACCTTGCACTATACACACAAAACTTGATGTTATACTTCCTATGAACCATAACAGATTTGCTTCTGGGCTTTGACTCCACTCAAACGAGTGGCATGGAAAAACTCACTTTTCGAGAAAAAGGCGGCGACCATTAACACTTCAACCTTTGGCAGACTATCTAACTGCCCCTTTAGGAACCAGTCAGAACTCAGTTTATGGCAGATTGCCATAATAAGTCGAATCGAACTCCTATCAGTGTCATGCACTAATATAACTCCCGATCGGCAACCCGCGTAGTGACGTATGAGACGCTCGGCCAATATCGGCATGTCGTCGGTTGCATGACAAAATTTAAAAGTTTTACGATATTATATGTTGTTTATTGGCATGCTGCAATTA